CTTAATGGTGTGTAATTTAATATCGTGCAACATATATTAAGTTGGATCTAGGTATAAATAAATAACTTTGATCTCTAAAATATCCATATATTGTGAGAACCTGGATAAATATACAAATATAGCATAATGTAATCCTTCAATGACAATGTTTCTTTAGCACAGAAAGCTTCACCAGGCCACAAGCCGATGTACTCTGTGAGAGAGAGAGAGAGAGAGAGACTGTGATAATTCACATGTTGAAGGATCAGTTATTAAAGAAGAGGGAATGTAAATGAAAAAAATCAAAGTTTATGTGGATTAAATAAGGGTCGGATGTGAAAAGTGGGTTATAATAAGTGTTTATGTACCTGGAGAAGAGAAGAATGTAGAGAAGAGAGATAGATTTTTGAGAGATGTTAAGAGAGTGTTTGGGAAGTTTTGAAACAAGTGAGGGAGTAGTTGTTGTGGGGGACATGAATGCTAAAGTGGGTGAAATGATCACAGAGAGTGTGATAAGTAAGTTTGGGATGCCAGATGTAAATGATAATAGGGGTCTTTGATTGAACTTTGTATAGAAAAGGATTTCGTAATAGGTAATACATACTTTAAAAGAGGGATACATATGATATAAGGCATAACGACAGTAGTTTGTTAGATTATGTATTGGTAATCAATATGTGTAGGTTTATAGAAAGGTCACTGATATATTAGATCATTTTTTAGTTGTAGCTACATTTTGAGTAAAAGATAGATGGGAAACAAGGAGAATGGTATCAGCAAGTAGGAGAGAGAGGTGAAGGTTTATAAACAAAAGGAGGCAGTTAGGGTAAGATATAAATAAATATTGGAAGACTTCGCTAGTGAGAGTATAGGAAATAAGGTTGAAGAGGTATGGGATATATTTAAGAACGTAGTGTAAGAGTGCTCAGCAGAAGTGTGTTGTTACAAGAAAGTGGGTGTGGGAGGGAAGAAGACCGATTGATGGAATGATGAGGTAAAGAGTAGTAAGAGAGAAAAAGTTGGCATATGAGAGGTTTTTACAAAGAAGTGATCAAGGAAGAAGTAGTATATGGATAGAAAAAAGAGAGGTTAAGAGAATGGTGAAGAAATGTAAAAGGAGAGCAAATAAGACAGTGGGTGAGATATTATCAACAAATTTTACTGAGAATAAGAAAAAGTTTTGGAGTGAGATTAATAAGTTACGAAAGCCTAGGGAACGAATGGTTTTTCAGTTAGAAATACAAGAGGAGTGTTATTAGATGGAAAGTTGGAAGTATTGGGAAGATGGAGGGAATATTTTGAGGAACTGTTAAATGTTCATGATTTCGTGCACTGGATAGGAAAGTATAAATCTTGTAGGCATGAAGAAGAGTCAGTTGTGAGTGTGGGGAAGGTGCATGAGGCAGTAGGTAGAATGAAAGGGGGTAAAGCAGCTGCCTTTGATGGGATACAGACAGAAATTTTAAAAGCAGTGGGATATAGTTTTGGAATAGTTGTGTGTTTTTATTTAATAAATGTAGAGTAGTGGGGAAAGTACCTTGGGACTGGCAGAAAACATGCATAGTTTCTATGTATAAAGGCAAAGGGGAGAAAAATAGTGTAAAAATTATAGGGAAATAAGCGTATTGAGTATACGTACCTGGTAAAGTGTATTGTAGAATGATTACTGAAAAAAATAAAAGGCGGAGAGCAGGATCACAGATGAACAAGGAGGCTTTAGGGAAGGTAAGGGAGGTGCAGACCAGGCATTTACAGTGAAGCATGTTGGTGAACAGTATTTAGATAAGGGTAAAGAGGTTTTCGTTGCATTTATAGATTTGGAAAAGGCATATAATAAAGTGAAAGCAATGTGGCAGATGTTGCAAATGTATGCAATAGGTGATAGGCTACTGAAAGCAGTTTAGAGTTTTTACAAGGATAGCGAGTATGTATGAGAGAGGGAGATTATTTCTCAGTAATAGTAGGCCTTAGGCAGGGATGTATGATGTCACCATGGTTGTTCAACATATTTACAGATGGGGTTGTAAGAGAAGTGAATGCTTGGGTGTTGGCACGGTGTGCAAGATTGAAAGGTAACAATATAACACAAAGTGAAAGTTGTCGCAGATTCTTTTTTCTTTTGGGATATTCTGAAGAGAAGTTGCAGAGGTTGGTGGACAAGTTTGGTAGGGTATGCAAAAGAAGGAAATTAAATGTGAATGTAGGAAAGAGGAAGGTGATGAGGATAATAAAAAAAAGTAAGTAATGAAAGAGTGGATATCAGAGTGGAGAGAGGGAGTATGGAGAAAGAGAATGTATTCAGATATTTGGGAGTGGACTTGTCAGTAGATGGGTCTGTGAAAGGCGAGGTGAATCATAAAATTGATGAGGGGGGGAAGAAGGTTAGGGGAGCATTGAGGAGTCTGTGGAGACAACGTTATCCATGGAAGTAAAGAGTATAGTGGAACCAACGCTCTAATACGAGTTTGAAGCATGGGATGTGAATGTTACTACAAGGAGAAAACTGGAGCCAGTGGAGATG